AAAAACCAAGTGCAAAAAAAAATCTGAACCAATGTATGAGATTTCTTTTGTTACTAACACATTTTTTTTAACCTTTTCCTTTTTTACAGCTAATTTTTAAGGAAGTATGATTATGACAACTCAAAAAGCACACAGTTAATTGGATTTAGGCTGTAATCACAGTGTTAAACTTTTTAAAATAAGCTCTTTCCCGTGTAACTTTTTATAATTTTTTATAATTCAATACAGAACTACTGGTTACAGAAGTGGTTTTACAGAGTTTTCCACCTTTGCCATCCTGTGAAATTTTGGATATCAATGATGAGCAGACTCTCCCGAGGCTGATTGAAGCTTTAGAGAAACGCCATCAACTACGACAAATGATGACTGATGAGTTTAACAAACAATGTAAGGGCAAAAACCATTTGCAATCATTTTAACTCCATAAATTTGCAATAAATCAGTTCTGTGGTAGGACAGATCTTTAAAGAAGGGTTATTTTGTCCTGTACTTTGTAGTGCTCAAGGCATTGTTTAATTAGACTGATGAACTTTTCCCACAGCTCTTTTTTATATTCCAAGTAAAAGCAAATAAAAAGTTGGCATGTATTCTCTCCTTTTTAAAAATTAACAGTGATGGACACAAAGGAGTAATAGCTATTTTGTAGTTCCTAACTAGTTACTTATTTGCAAGGCACTTAACATATTACATCTTAATAACTGTGCCTTTGGGAAAATTAATCCTTTCTATTAGTTTCCCTGTGTGCAAAATGGAGATTATACTTGTTCCTACCTCAAAGGGTGTTGTGAAGATAAATGAGATAATGTATGAAAATCATGTAGAAGAACGAACAGCTTGGTACATAGCTAGTCCTGGATGAATGTACCTACTGTTTTTATCATCATCATTTCATTTTACTCTTCACAAGAAAGGCGTGAGATAATGGTATTTATATCCACATTTTGAAATGAGGAAATGGGCTCAGGAAAAATAACTTGCCTAAATCATATAACTAGTAAATGGTGTACTAGAGATTTCAAGTTGAATCTAACTGTCCCTAAAATAAATCTAGTGTTATTTCTGTTTTTCATTTGTTGTTCTGAAGCATATTATTTACCCATAAGGATTGAGAAAGGGGTGTCATAGAACAAAATGAAAGACTTAGTATTTTAGTTATAAACACACTTTCTATGACTGTGTCTTTTGTAGGTTTGAGAATCAAATTCTTGATTTCCTTCCTTTTCTGATTATAAGACATTCTCAAACAAATTTGCTGAACAGCTATATTTTTTATATAATGTCAGCTAATAAAAGTAGACTTCATTATTTTGGAATTCGAGTAAACAAAACCTGCATGTTTTTGTTTTAGCTGTTACTTTTAAAGCTATGTTGCAAGAATTTGACAATGGTGTTTTAAATAAAGAAAACTACATTCAAGGAAAACTAAATGAAAAAGAAAAGGTGATCTCAGGACAGAAATTGGAAATAGAACGACTGGAGAAGAAAAACAAAACTTTAGAATATAAGGTTGGTTTTGATATTATAATGGATATATGTGCTGACTATTTACTACTGACCTTTGACTTAGCTATTCTACTGTACAGGCCTGTAACCACTGCTTACTCCTAGTTATCACTGAGTTATTTACTAATCTCCATCCCACCCCAAAAAAAGAGGAAATGTGAGTGAAAAGTATAAAAGGGATATTATACTCTTTAATTTTATGAATTAGATTTTAGCAGTTGAAGAGAATGTTCTCTGGCCCAAACAAGTGATCTTTCAAGAGGGCTTTCTAGAGTTTAGCTTTGGTTATAGCTTGTGTTTTGTTTGTTTGTTATTACTGGGTAAAATATGTTTGTTCCTTTATTTACAAAGGATCATTTAGGGGGTACACATTCATTCCAGAGAGAAGCCAGTTTCAACCAATACAGTGTTCTCTATTCTGAAAATAGCCTTAAATAATATTTGAGGCCTGAATGTTAGGGGAAAGTACTTTTCACATTAAGTCAATTATAACTTAGTCATTCAATGAAGAACTTGTTTAAATATTCTCATTTCTAGGAAGGAGGTAGGAATTCTGATGGAATTTTAGGGGAAATTGCTTTCTCCGTGACTTTTCTTTCTACAACTATGCTTGCATAAATAAATTATGAAAGGGATTATTTTAGAGCTATATGTAATTTTTACAAACCAACTATAAACATAATAGTCTGCCTTCCAGATTGAAATTTTAGAGAAAACAACTACTATCTATGAAGAAGATAAGCGCAATCTGCAGCAGGAACTTGAAACCCAGAATCAGAAACTTCAGCGACAGTTTTCTGACAAACGCAGACTAGAAGCCAGGTTACAAGGCATGGTGACAGAAACAACAATGAAATGGGAGAAAGAATGCGTGAGTGTCATTCCTGTAGAGATTACTGCAGACTGGTGATTTATTTCAAATCGTAGTGTTTTGGATTTCTGTCTTTGGGGTAGGGTTTTGGTGGTGGCAGTAATAGTAGCCTATTCAGTTCATTCTGTTTCCTTTCTCTGTTTTAAAAATTCATGACAAATTAATTAGCATTATACGAAGCATAGTTAGGAAGAATTGGAGAACTGTCATTTTTAGGAAAAGGTGTTTCAATAATCTTGTGTACTTGTTTAGTATAACTGAATCAGAATATCTACTGCCATTGATAATCTGTAGGAGCGTCGAGTGGCAGCTAAACAGCTGGAGATGCAAAATAAACTCTGGGTGAAAGATGAAAAACTGAAACAACTAAAGGCTATTGTTACTGAACCCAAAACTGAAAAGCCAGAGAGACCCTCTCGGGCACGAGATCAAGAAAAAGCTCCTCAAAGATCTGTTTCTCCATCGCCAGTACCCGTAAGTTGTTTGTAGTTGTATACTAATTTAGGACTAGAGAAAATCTGTTCAGATTAGGAGGCTATTTCTATGAGAATCATTTTTTTGTTTTATATTACTTATCAAAGTTCTGTATAACTTAAAAATTTAATATAAACAAATTTAGTAAAATTTTGTATAAAAATTTAGTAATTTAGTACAAATAATTATAATGTTATTGTCATGTGCTAAAATTATAGAAAGTTGTTCCTCTCAGTTTTTCAGTCTTGCTCATTAATTTCTCTCAATTTTTTTAGCTTTCTAGTAACTATATTGCTCAGATTTCCAACGGCCAGCAACTCATGAGCCAGCCACAACTACATAGGCGCTCTAACTCTTGCAGCAGCATTTCTGTAGCTTCCTGTATTTCGGAGTGGGAGCAGAAAATTCCTCCGTACAACACACCTCTCAATGTCACATCCATTGCAAGGCGTAGGCAGCAGGAGCCAGGACAAAGTAAAACTTGTATCGTGTCAGACAGAAGGCGAGGGATGTACTGGACTGAAGGCAGGGAGGTGGTTCCTACATTCAGAAATGAGATAGAAATAGAAGAGGATCATTGCTGCAGGGTTAGTGCCAGTATTATTTTAAAGCATTGTAGCAACAGATTTTAATCTTGTGTTGTTGTAACTTGGTTCAGAAAGTTCAACTGAAAGATGGGCGAGCTCCAATATAAACAAAGTAATTTTTATGTTAGTTGCTTTGAAAGATCGAATCACCCCAAAATTGAGGCCTAGCTCTTTAGCTGAAAAAGCCTACACACTTTGGCAACAGAAATAATGCCTCTCGTTCAGTGAACACAGTCACTGGGGCACATGCCAGAGTGATTGGTGCTTTTCATTTCATAAGCTAATGAGCGTGTGAATATGAATGGCTTAGAGCACATTTTACAATTTTTTTCTTTTGGATATTCTTCTCCAAATTAGATTTTTGCTGCTTTTGAACTTTTATTTTTAAATCTGTTTTCCCAAACGTTTATTTTGAAAAATTTCAAACCCAGAGAAAAGCTGAATGGTAGTATCATCTTTTCCCCCTTACTTAGATTTACCAATTGTTAATTTAGATTCGTAAACATTTTTTCCTTGAACCTTTGAAAGTAAATCAGACTTCGTGATACTTTATCTCTAAGAATAAGGACACTGTCCTATATAACCACAAACTTTATCACACCTAAGAAAGTTAACGTTTACTTAGAATAAATATCCTCTAATATACAGTTCATGTTTACATTTTCCCAGTTGTCCCAGTATAATATATAGTTCATGTTTACATTTTCCCAGCTGTCCCAGTAATGGCTTTTCTTTTTTCAATCCATGATCCTATCAAGATGAATACATTGCATGTCGTTATTACATCTCTTTAATCTCTTACAATATAAAATAGTCTCCCTCTTTTTTTTTTTGTTTTTCATAACATTGGACTGTTTTTGAAGAGTCCAAGCCAGTTGTTTGTAATTACTGAAGGTTCACTGTGCCCAATAAATTGCTTTTAATCATAAGACCTTTATTTCAATTTACAAGGGCTCTGCCTCATTCAAGGGTATTTAAACAAGTTTATGTTGATGTTTTTGTCTTAAGGATTATGGTAAAATTTTGCCTTTGATCTGAATAAATGAACCAAGTTACTACTTGTGAACTTACATTTAGTAAAATCTTAATATAGCTGTTTTAGAATTTTTCTTCTAAACAAATTAATCTTATAGTAAATATCTGCTTCAGATTTTCTTGTATAATTTTGGGTACAGAAAAATTTCATTCAGGTGGCCTGCATTCCTGATTATTAAGGGGTGGTGATGAATTCCAAGGTAATTTACCAAAACAACAGATTTTAAAGTCTCTTACGTTCTTTACTTTGCAGATAATGCTTTAAACCTTTTTAGGGAGCAAATTATGGTGACTGGTCTTTCTGATCAACTCTAATAAATCCCCTATATTTTGTGAAAGCTTGTAGACAAAACTATTCAAGGCCTTCTTATGCCTGGTCAACATTAATGTAATACCTAATTTGGCAATGAGATATTTAAGAGGATTTACTAGAGATCCTTTAATTTCTCACGTGAAATCAAATTCTCTTAGAAGTGCAGCAGAAAAGTATCTATGCTTTTGGGTTCTTTGGTCAAAATTATGTCAGGTGGACTAAAATTATACTTCAGTGAGGAAGAAATTTTAAGTGTCATTTATTTCATAAGATCGTAGTCTGTTAAGTCTATGATCTTTCCAAAGCTTGTTTCAGAATACTTATTGCTAAATGTGTTCAAGAAAACTATCACTTTTGCCAAATGGTAGAACATGAGATCAAGACTTTCTTTTCAACGATAAGCCAGTATAAGAATGGAAAGTTTCCTGCTTGCTGTAAGGCTTAAGTATCTTTAGAGGCAAACTATTGCCCATGTTTTATACTATCATGATTTGTCACTGGTGCTTCATTTGTTTCTTATAATTATATAGAGGAAATGCTTCAGTTCTCCAGATATGCATTTTGAAATTGGGATCTTCATACTTGACCAGCTTCAAAGGGTTTGGCCTGTGGCAGACTGTTTCATTTGCTTTCAGTTTTACAAAGTTGTTTGAAAAGTTCCAAAAAAACCTCATTGCTTCAAATATTAACTCTCCAACATGTGAAATATTTTTTATTAGGTTAAATGTGCTAACTTTAACTTTCCCAAATTTACATGACATTTGGAAGCAACTCGTTTTTTATTGTATGATAGAGACTGATTTGATACTATATTTCTCTATCTGGTTCTTGGAACCTTTACGGAATGTTTGGGAGAAAAAAAGTTGGTGTGTTTTAGCCATTGTTGTGTTTGAATTTTTCATGAAGTTCTGTTTAGAGATTTTAAAATTTCGGAAAGTAATCAGAAGTACTTTATTTATATTCTTTTAATCATTTTATGCATAGGGTTCTTACTATACCTCATGTTCTTTAGCATTTTGTACTATATAGCCCCTTCAGCTTTTTTTTTTTTTTTTGTCTTTGTGTAGAGTGCTTTCTCTTTTGTTTAGAGGCCTATGACATGTTTAGGCTTTTATTGATCTTATTGAAGCTTTTAACATAGTTATGGACCTAATAGATTACTTTACAATAGCAGGCAGAAATATTGGTTTTTGATCGAGAATGCAAAATAAATAATTTGTCTTGAATAACGCCTATGTAGAAAAGACTAGCAGCATTACCCGAATATTTCCTTCTTTGTTGAAAGGGAATGCCTTGGTAGAATGTACAATATACAAGCTGGTGTTAAAAGATGTTGGTTTTGTGTTTAAATACAAAGACAACATTTAAATTATTTGAATAACATATTTAGCTTTTGAAAAGGTTTATGAATTTGTTTTGATATTGTCACCAACTAATGTAGCCAAACCTGCTGCACTTCTAATAATACCTTTAAATTAATTCTGGGTTATGCTTGTTTCTTGATTCCTTTCAACCTGATCAGAATGTACCACCACTTCGTCTCCGACACAGACGATCACGCTCTGCAGGAGACAGATGGGTAGATCATAAGCCTGCCTCTAACGTGCAAACTGAAACAGTCATGCAGCCACATGTCCCTCATGCCATCACAGTATCTGTTGCAAATGAAAAGGCACTAGCTAAGTGTGAGAAGTACATGCTGACCCACCAGGAACTAGCCTCCGATGGGGAGATTGAAACTAAACTAATTAAGGTAAAAACAAATTTACACAGGTGAAAAAAATATACAAAAAGTCAACCTAACAAAAAACCATTTACTCTTCTATTCCTTTCGTGACACACAGGCAGTGTCAACTAAAAAATAAATGGGTATTTGATATGACCTCTGTTACAAAACTAAAGTAACTGCTTAGGTTCCGAACTTGTTAAACTAGGACTAAATTTGCTTTCTAATGAATGAAGCTTAGATTCTCAGGTTTGATAGAATTCCAGACATATTATGTACTTTTAATTAATGTATATTTAGTTTTAACCCCTACTTTAAAAGTTAACCTAAACAACCAACTACCTTTGCTTTCTGTCAGTTCAAGATAAAAAGCCTACATTAAAACCTGACCAGTCAAAATTACTTAGTATTGGGCTACCCAAAGCTCTTCCCTTTCTATGTGTAGAAGACTTTTCCCCTGATCCTAGAGTTAATGAATAATCAGGGAAGGAAAAGACAAGTCTGGGAAAAAAAGTTTTTCATTTCAAATTCAATTTAAAGGATGGTTCTTATTGTAACTATAGTTTCATATAAGATTACTTCCATTTGAATATGAGGGAGGTGGCATACCCAGTGAGGAAAGTATAAGGCCTTCGAACATTTAGAAACTTCTGGCAGATTTCTTGATCCTACGGTAGTATTTATATTATAGGTTAAACAAAAAGGAATATTATTTTCTGCAGTTAAGAATGTTACTGATTATATTGCATGGGACTTCTTTAGTGAGGGCTATGTACTCAAATTTCTAAAGTATTTTAATAGTACAAACCCAGCAGTCCCAAGCACCATCTGATTTTGTGGATGGGAGTTTTTATAAAACAGTAATTTTAAATTCAATTTGAAATATATATATTCATCGTTTGAGTGTATCAAAGTGTAATGTGATCTTTTCTCTTGGCTCTAGGGTGACGTTTATAAAACAAGGGGTGGTGGACAATCTGTTCAGTTTACTGATATTGAGACTTTGAAGCAAGAATCACCAACTGGGTGAGTAATCATCAAATGTATCTCTTTAGACAGCTGTCATTTTCTTAATTGCTCATTCTTGAGGAACAGAATAATAACCTATAAAATGTATCATTAATTCTCTAAAGAAATGCAGTGGTATTTCCCTATTTCTAATATTTTTCCTGTTCTTAGATACAAAAATAATTATTGTATCATGTTCCCCTTTTTCCATAGTCGAAAACGGAGATCTTCCACAGTAACACCTGCCCAACCAGATGGTGCAGAGTCTGAATGGACCGATGTAGAAACAAGGGTAGGGGTAAAAATGAAATATCTGTCTGCTTACTAAAAATTAGGGATGTCATATTTTAAGCCTCACAGCTGTAGTTTTTTGTACCTGAGGTCTGATCTCCCATTGCCAGTGCAGCCTATAGGCCTGTCTTAGCAAACCAGTGAAGGTATTTATTTCTTTAGGTCTGGTCTTACTGGAGCTCTTTGGCTCAAAGCCCGTTTTCAGCACAGAGGGATAGGGTCCAAGAATCGAGTCTTAAAGCATCATTCTAGAATAACAAGAATTCACATCAGATTCATGGGAATCTCAGAAGCAGAACTTCCCTATGGAACTGTTATTCCTGATGAGAAGCTCAT